TCCCACTGGATCCAGCACCAACAAGTCTCATACCCGCAGAAAAAGAGTACTTACTGAAGAGGACTCTTTCTAGAAAGCCCTGCCTGCCAAGAGGACCACAGCACCTCAGCCCCGCAGGATTAGCTGTCTTACCCAAAGAGGGAGCATCTTTTGGGTTACCCTAACACATCAGCAGAAGAAAACTTATGGCCTACTTCGATCAAACACCTGAGGACCTGCACGCTCAGACCCGCTGGCAGAGCAGTGTCCACGGAGCCACCGTGGCAGAGCCCAGCAGGCTGCGGCACTTCTAGCTTTGCTCACGCTCATACCATGGAAGCAGCCTCGTGTGAGGGCTGGGGGCAGTGTCCCCAATGACGTTCAGGTCATCGCAAAACAGGTCAAGCAGCATCACAGCTGTGACGTCTCATCGCACAGCAACTCAAAATATGTTTTACTCCATTTTGCGCATCGACAAAAGCCCGCAATACTCATAGAGCAGACACACACCATCAACCGAGGTGGGAACACGGGAGGTCTGAAACATCACCTTTGTTTAATACCTTCACAGAACTATTTTGAGAGAAGATTCTCAGGCAACCAAAGAAACCCCAAGCCTTGCTAAGAACAGCAAGGTTTTCAGAGGCTAAAGAAATTACATTTTGGGGAATTTCCCCCCTCTTTCCCCTTCTCCCAATTCCATCCCAAGCCTGCCCACACAATAACAGCATTTGTCAATGAGATGTCCTCAGCAATGAAATATATCACCACCGATCCTCTACAGCAGTCATAGTAAACGCTTTGTTGTCCATTGCTATGCAAAACTGCTTAATTCTACCAGTAGTCTGAATGCATTTAAGTACTTAAGATAAGTATCTGAACTAATTTACATAATTGCAACATTATGAAATACTATTCAGCCAAATCAGAACATTGTTGGTTAAAAACACACTTTTGCCAGTTGGTTACGTTTGCTCTTGGTGTGCTGAAGAAGTGTGAGCAACCCAACTCTGTAATTACCGTAAGGATTAAAATCTTGTTACTCACGTAGTCATGAAAGGCTTTTGCTTCACTTGAATGTTCACAAGTATCTCGCCTTTCAGGAGCTGCACAGTAAAGGTCCCAAAATACACTGCATGGCAGAAAAAGTAAAACAGGATCCAGTTACTAATTATTACTTGCATACTTAACAGCACAACATACAATAGCAGAGTTCAAACTACGCCACTGGTTCATTAAAGGTGAGCAACTTTCCACCTCATTTGGCCTGCGGTTGAGGAGGAAATCTCAAAGTCTGTCAGGACTGTGCATCCAATTTCATTTCCATTCAGACCTTCTGGCGGCAGCATCAATAAAGACATTTCAAGACAGGTGATGCTGAGCATTTTAAGAGCTAAAACTAGCATTTAATGCATGGGTAACAATTACGGTGAGCTGGCAACGTGAACCAGAGAGTAGTAATTCAGGAACTTCTAAAACCTTAATATAAGCACATATCAACGCTGACATCTCATGATGTCTTCCCCCTGAGTATGCAAATGAACCAACTCAAAGTTGGTTTCTTCAGTCACCTACTCCAGCTTCCTGGCAAAGGACAGCCTAGACTCAAACCTTTCTGTCTCCTGAACACTCAAAGTTTCGGAAACCTTTTGCAAGGCCAATCACACTGGGAACTTAAGGCACTAGCCTCAATCTACCATGTCCTTACATACAGCAACTTCCCTCCCACTTTTTAAGTATTCCCATAGGGACAACTCCACCACGGAGATTTCACCTCAACACCCCTCTGGAAACAGGACTGCAAGCAAGAGTCGACACTCCCCTGCAGCGATTAAGCGCAAGACTTCTCGCTCTGGGCCCCGGGCACGCAGACCCACTCAGTCCCGCGTTATTCCCTCGCCGTGGCACAGGGCACCTAGCCCCACCGTGCGCGGGTGCTGACTCACTGTTTCTTGTGGATTCCTCGTTTTTACAAGCACCAGTTGCACGGCAGCATAAAGCCGCTCGCCGCCAGCTGAGACTTCGGCCGCCACCTACGAGAGCGGCCACGTTCGCACGAGGGGCAATGGCTTGGTGCTAGAGGATTAACGCACCGCCGCGGGCGAGGCCGGCACCGCAGCACCTACAGACAGGGTGGCACGAACGCGGCTAGCGCCGGCACAGCTCTGCCCAGCAGAGCCCTGGAGTGTCGAGCCTGGCGGGCAGGTAACAGAGTGGCAACCCAGTGCTTTCAGCCCCAAAAAAGGGCTGTTGCTATTTCCTTGCAAACTCCTGAACAGGGGACAAGCAGCCCGCTCCGTCTTCCCCGTCTTACCGCTAATCCTCACGCGCCGAGCGACACAAGCCCTAATTCCCTGCTGTTATTCCCCCAGTCCCTCCGCTTTGCTCACTTGGCGAGCCAACCCGCAGGCCTCGGCAGGGGGCCGGGCGGCCCACG